TCGATCCACCAGAAAATTACCCACTATCCCAAGAGGACCGTCTGATTGAAATCTCATCCGGAAGACCTGGAGGGCATTAAACCATATTAGAACTAGTGTAGCTCCAGTAAAGACCAACAAAATAAAATGGAGGCTGCAAACTACTAATGGCGATTATTACGAATGTGAAAAACAACAAAATATGGATGCCCGACATGTCCGTCAACATATACCCTCAGGAAGAATTACTATATTAAGTAACCAACTAACTTCAGGTAATACCATGTGGGTCTCAGACATTAAACGTTAACTAAAAATAATAATAATAATAATAAGATAAAATATCAAGTAAAAATGAAAAGAACAATATTATGACTTAAACACAAAGACCACGCTAAAACATAATTTACAGAAAATCAGAGATGGAAGGTATCTGAGATTTGCAAATGGTAATGTATTAATAGATTATCAAATAGGGAAGGTTAAACAATTTTCAAATCATCTCTACCTTTTCTCGCTAGAAGGGGCAATAAAAATAAATATATCTAAAACCCAGATGATGACAAATCTTGTAGTTAGCGAATGGTAATGTCCTATAAATACCTCGCTCACTAGATTCGCATAGAAAATAATAACCAAGCCGTCAAGCTTCTCCTTCGTATAACGCTGACTTGAGAAGCCTTCGGCAGGTTAAACTACATTTTCGAATCGTTCGATATATCAATGTACATATCTTAAAAGAAAAACCTTTATTCATTGTGTTTTAACAGTGTTGACTTAGGGAGCTAAAACGTTGAATATGACAAGGAGATCAGTACCAAAAAACTATGCAGCTCAAAGAGGATGTGGAGTACTATGTTGGGGGTTTCACTGCGACACAAGATTCCAAACCGTCAGCTACAACGAAAATCAGGAGTGGCTGAAGTTGTAGAGAGAAATAGCAGCACTGAAGTGGAACTGGACAAGCCTCGTTGCTCGAATGACAGATAATAGATGGACAACGCGGATACTGGAATACAGACCACAAGATGATGCCTAAGAGAATGATGAAGAGAACTAAAACAATACATCATAAGGGAATATTAGGTACTTATATACTTAAAAAGAAGAAAAATGTATAGTACGTGAGACCAAACAGTGCATGTTTAAAGATGAGATTATAACGAAAAATGAAACAAGAAAAGATGGTCAAAAGCATAAAGGATACTACATACCATATATATTTATATATGGAAGTATACCACGAATGCACCTAGATAAAATAAAAAAATACAAAATGCAAAAAGTATAAGTATACAAGAAAAAGTAAAAAAAGAAAAGTAAACTAGAAGCAGTTGATCAAATCCATTTGAAAGACATCAAACATTTTCTCTATAATAGAAAATTTCCTTATAGATTTTTAAAATCTATAGAAGAAATATATAAATAAATTAGGATCCTACTCAACCAATACTGGTTATTAGTAAAGTGATATCATGACATACAATGAAGATACTAGACAAGATGCGTCAAAAATCAAAACACTATTGGACATAATAGACATTAAGATATTTCATAAAACAGCTGGAAAGACACTCCTTAAAGAAGTAAACACATAAAAAACACATGAAAGATATCAATCACTGGTCATTAAAAAGAAAAAAAAAAACAGTGGAATAAACACATTAACAGAATAAAATGATAATGATTTGGGAGATAAAAAATAGATTCCCACTCCCACGAAAGAAAAAGAAGCAAGGAAAAGATGCCAAGAAATTAAGACTCTGCAGTCAAAGTACGATAGTCACAATGTACATAGGAAAGTTAAAGAACTTACAGGAGGACTAAGACGAAAGCAGAAAGGAAATATAACTGATTCTGATGGAAATATCATCTTAGACAGAGTAAAATAAGAACGTGGAAAGAATGTCTAGAAAAACTATTTAAAAACCAAAGAGATAACACCTTTGACCTAGAAGAAGAGGTAAATGATGGACCAAATATATTGCAGCAGAAATTTTATACCGCAACAACACAGGTAAAGGATGGTAAAGCAGCAGGCCCCAATAATATACAAGCAGAACTACTCAAACTAATGGACAACGAATCAATAGCAATAATCGCAAAGATATTAAATGACGTATACAACTCTGGAGAAATACCAATAGAATAACTGAAATCTGAGTTTATTGCACTTCTAAAAAAAACCAGGAGCCAAAAAATGCGAAGATTACCATACTATAAGCCTCATGAGTCATTTCCCAAAATTGTTCCTAAAGATAATTCATAAGAGGATCTACAAGCTCTGTGAAAGTCAAATTTCCCCCAACCAATTTGGGTTCACAAATGCTGGTGGTACTAGAGAGGCTTTGCTTTCTCAGTACAAGTCTTATTTCAGAGATATAGAGACGTCAACTGCGACGTATACGCATTTCTGATTGCTTACGAGAAAGCGTTTAATTGAGTACAGTGCGCCAAGATAATGCAAATACTAAAAGAAGCAGGAATTAACAACCAAGATCTGAAAATAATTAGAAATCTTTACTGGAATCAGACAGCAAATCTCAAAGTTGAAAGTGAACACACTGACTATGTGAAAATCATGAGTGGAGTGAGGCAAGGCTGTATTTTGTCTCTTCTAATCTTCAATCTGGACTCTGAAAGAATATTTATCGAAGCATTGCACAAAACTGAAAAAGGTATTATACTAAATGGTTACCGTCCAAACAACATCAGATATGCAGATGACACCATAGTATTTGCGGACAACTTAGAAGACTTACAAGTTCTTATAAACAAAATCACGTATTACAGTCAACAATATGGACTTAATATAAACGTTAAGAAGACAAATCTTATGATAATTAGCAAGAGAAAAAGATAACAGAAAGTCAACTCTACGTCAACCAATCTCCTGCAGAAAGAGTGACGTATTACAACTACCTCGGTACCATAATAAATTAAGAGTGGACCAACAACCAGGAGATTAGAGCACGCATTGGAAAAGCTAGATCCATCTTCAATCGGATCGGGGCCTTCTTCAAGAGTCACAACCTCTCTCTTGATGCTGCGATGCTAAGTCTTCTCTGTCCTTTTTTTATGGTGTTGAATCTTAGACCTTGAACGAAGATATGTGCAAAAAACTGGAAGCATTTGAGATGTGGCTATATCGGAGAATACTTAAGATCTCATAGACTGACCGAGTCACAAATGAGGAGGTCCTCAGAAGAATAAATAAGAACCGAGAGGTACTGACCGCCGACCACCTTAAATCTCGAAAGTTACCACTCTTTGGACATATTATGCGAAATGAATCCAGATATGCTCTCCTTCAAGCCATCCTGCAAGGAAAAATATTTGGAAAGCGATGTCCAGGAAGAAGAACATCTTGGTTTAAGAACGTCAGAATCGGGTTCAATATAACATCTGTGACAACAACGTGAAGATAATACGTCAAGCAGCTAAACAGACACTCGTATAGAGAAAAAAGAAGTGAAAACATAAAAAACATATGCAAGATGCAACATATTAATAACTGGGTATTAAAAAAAAACAAAGGAAACAAACTAATAGAATTAAAGAAGAAAGAAAGAATTCCTGTTGTGGGGGACTGTTCACACAAAAGATAGAGCAGATAGAGCGATGACCATGGAGGAGATAACTATATAAATATAAAATATAATTTGTCTAACATCAAGACGGAAGGAGAAGATGAATAGATGTAATAGACTCATATGAGTTTGATAGTATTCTAAATTTTCCTACGACCTGTTTATGGGCAATTGTTGGTTTTTTTCTCAAAATATTTAGATCCTGAATATGGTAGGTAGTATATTGGCATGATCTGTATGATTTCAGCAGATATTTAGTTGGGTTATTTTGATTAAAAATTCTTTAATTTTTTTTACAATATTTATACAAAAGAGTCTTTATCTGTTCATATATTATATTTTTTTTACATTAGTTAGGGAATTTTGTACATTAGTTACATTTTAGACATTTACAGTTTGCAATAGGCGAGCGACGAACCCCCAAAAAAATGACTGTGACGTATAACTAGTTAACAATAGGGCAAATTTGGGACTATAATATTCAAAATAAAAATCTGCAAAACTTTTCTAAATAAAATTTTTTGATTGTGGTGGGAGAACAAAAGCAGATTTTAAAATTTTATTGGAATATTATATTTAAATTGTAATATTTCGGCCAGTTTAAATCTTTCGATTTCTAATTTTGACACCATATTATACTATGGACATTTTCGAACTTTACACGTACTCTTTGTATAAACGAGTATACAAATCCAAAATCCAATTCAATTTTGCTATTATTTTTTATCATTCAATATGGAAATCTAAAACTTTCCAGAAAATTAAAAGGGAGGGTTAAAAAGGGAGATTTGGAAATTTGTATTACAAATTTTTAATTAGAACAAAATATCGAGTAGCATACGATTTTTTAAAAATTAGCCACTTTGTTTATAAACAAAATTAAAAGTTCAGACAAATCTCATTTTCTTTGCCGAAATGTCCGTAGTATATTATTTTAAAATTAGAAATCAAAATACTTAAATTGATAAGAGGTATCAAAAATTAAATATAAAATTTCATTAAACTTATAAAATCAAAATTTTTGTATTGTTCCCCCACGTCAATTAAAAAAATGTGATTTAGAAAATTTGTGCAGATTGTTATTATGAATATCTGGATACTAAATTTGCCAAGTTACTAGCAAGTTATGGGTTGATCGAAAACTAAAGTACATTTTGGCTGTTCACCCTTCGCCTAAAAGCAATAATATCATTGACTTTATCTCAAAATATTTAATTTACTGGCATTATTAAACAAGTTTTATGGGATGCAAAAAGCAAAATAGTACATTTAAAAACATCAAACTTAACAATACCGAAATAATATTTTTTGTGTTAGATTAATTAAAAAGTCTGTATTATCACTAGTACCAAATAGTCGTATTAGAAACTAGTTACTAGTTCTAGATTGGTAAGAAGAGTAGTGCCATAGCTAGAGGCTAGATTTTTGCAGGTTACTAACGTCGATCCCCCAAGATTACATCGATTTGGACCCCCGCGCCTTGCGGGCTATTCGAGTGCTTAGACCGCTGAAGCTAGTCTCTGGCATTCCTAGTAAGTAGAAATGTAGTTGTGAGTCTTCCTCTTCCTTTCAGTTCTATACTATTATTTTTTCTTGGTCTTCTAGTAAAGAAGCGGAAATGCAAGCTTTAGATATTCTTCGATCTGATTTTAAATAACAAATTATTCTCGAGTATTGATTTAAGTACATAGAGAAGTTTAAAGTATTCATGCAAATCAGTTTTTTTTATATATTTTTCAATGTTATAAGTATTCAGTGTAGAAAGCATTTATTTGTAAGTAGTCTACATCAGGTGTTCCTAAACTTTTAAGATACTGGAACATCCACCAAATACCTTTTATTTTATGGAATCCAATACCAAATAATAATAAATCAAAGACATTGTATATACTGACGTTGTATTAATTTTTATCTATAGTAAAATTCTAAGGCGATCGTAACAAAATTAGCGACACGACCTAGTTGGAAAAGTCCATTTACTCGACGAGGAGAGTCTGTTATACATGTACACTTTTTCAATTTTATAAAAATCTATAACAGGGATATTAACTAACAGCGGTTTTAGGTATTTTCGAATGTACATAAAATTGTTAAAATAAATTTTAACAAATTGACTGTAACTTTTATTGACTTTAGTCAATTTTAAAAATATTTATATTTTAACATGTTAAGCACGGTGAGACATCAACGCAATGTCTCACTGTCCGGTAAACTTAGGCCGGCGTGACACCAATAGATGTCTCATTACAAACAGAAAATAAGACGGCGTGGCTCACTGTAAAGTCACACGATAATGATAAATTTATGGGAGGCGATAAATAGCCGTCTATAGAAACATCTAATGTGAACCGGTCTGGAATTTTTAGACACATTCAGTACTTACAGTCAACTGAGTGTCATCAATGAGGAGATATTGTATTTCAAAAATAAAATGCATATAAAGTAAACAAAACATTTATTAGCAAAAACTCAGTTACAAAGTAAAGACATAGTTTTATATAAATGAGAAAAAAATCGCATTACTTTGATTTTGTAGTAGAATGCGTTTCAAAAAAACATGGAACACAAAAACTCTTTTTACAAGATGTGCACTGCCATTTCGTTCTTGGAGTTTTGCTTTGTGCTTCTTGCCGTCCTAAAGTTTCTTTTTTTAAAGCATAGCACACAACAGATCGACCTTTAGCGTGCTCTTGTAATACATGACGCTCATCATTTTGGATGTTCTTTGCCGATACAAGCTCATGAGTTACATCTAAAAGTGTCAAGACAAGATGCTCTCTGAATTCAGTAATCTGCATTTTATTTTTCGTTATTTCCTTATAACACAAGTATGCATTCACTAAAGCAGAACCTAAAATTAACTCGATTGCTAACTTCCGGTACCATTTCGTTCCCTTTCTAAGAGAATGCGAATATGCTTTCAATTGATCCGAAAGATCAATATAAGCTTTGGCTTTGTTATAATCCGCGATGGCTTTTGGTTTTTCTATCTCTTTTCCACGTTGTCTCACTCCCACTACCTCATCGGTGTGTTTGGTGGTCAATAGCAGCACATCTCTCGTATCTTTCCATTTCATCATAACGACACCTGTACCACTTTCCTGGGCAAATACTTCATGTCTTTTTAGTTTTCTTGCCACAACTTCTTTCGCGTTCAGTTTTCTGTTCGTCCTTACAGTTCCAACAAGATGTGTTTTTCTGTTCAATAATTTAGATGCTAAATCCACACTAGTATAGTAGTTATCCGTATGGAGGGTTCGACCTTTGTCCAAAAGATTGTCCATTAAACTCATGACTACATTCGCTGTTGCATTACTGATACCATCAGTTCCACAATACACTTGTAGATTATAGGTATATCCACCAGTTGTACAAAGTTTGTACAATTTGATTCCAAATTTGTTCTTAATGTAATTTGTTTTTAATGTACTGTTTAAATTTTAAACGACCTCTAAAAGGAACAAGAGTTTCGTCAATACATACATCTGGTCCTGGCACAAGAACGTACTGAAATCTTTCTATCAACTTATTGATCAGTAGGGTCAACTTTCTAAGTTTATCATTTGAAAAGTTCACATCCTCGTTATTGTTGAAACGCCACATTTGAAGGAGTTGTTCGAATCTGTTTCTTGGCATGAGATCTTTTACCTTGTTAGCGTATAAAAAATTAGTGCTCCAATAAGCTTTTAGACGTGGTAGCTGAACTAAACCCATCCAAATAATTACACCAAGAAATATTTCCATTTCTGTGTTATCAGTGGGAACCCATTCCTTTACGTGACCTTTTGGCTTCTGCTTCTCTCTCAACACTTGCTCGGCATAAAGATTGGTTTGGTACACCATATGGTCAATGATCTCATTTGTAATAAATAGTTTGAAAAAGTCGTATGGAGTCTGCTCATATCTATCGTAGAATTCAGCTTTAATTCCAATATCAACACTAGAGAAATCAAACGTTCTTAGTGAAGTACCATCAACGGGTCCCCATACTATTTGAGTATCCTGGGTAGTGTTATTTTCTTCATTGGCGTCTTCGGATATATTTCAAGCTATCACATCTTCAATAGTTTGATCAATCTGTAACAAAATAACTGCTGTGATCCAAAAATTTTTCAATTGATTTATAATAGCAATGTCGCCAACAAAAAAGAAAGATCTGAACTAAGCTTACTCACCATACTGTTGTCGTGTTCAGTTGTAAGTTCACTGATACATTCAACTGACGTGGATGGAGCAAGTTCTCTTTCAACATTGATCGCCTCAGTGGTTTCAAATTTTTTTGTACGGTTTGCAGGAATTTCTTCATCACTACAGGTTGCGTCACTACTATCAGGTATATACTCATCGGATAATATATATATATATATATATATATATATATATATATATATATATATTACACATATAGACGCGACACCTCATATAATAATATGAGGTGTCGCAATATCCACATCACAGATTTGAGTACCTCAAATCTGTGATGTGGACTCAAATGTTTGTTTTAACGTGGATGAAGTTTGAAGATAGTTTATTTCAATACCAGTGGATTTAGATGAGTCAAATTGTGGAGTTGATCCTAATATATTTCAGATTGCTATCACATCTTTCAATAAATCTATTCTGTATAGCGTTTTCCTATTGTTGGCAATCACAAATTACCTAATTGTCATTTTTGTAGTGATATTTACAGCAAAACGAGAAGTAGTTAATTTTATTTAAGTTTTTTTGGGAATTATTATTATTATACAATAATATCAATCCAAAGTAGACCTTATCTGACCCAAAGTATAAAATATTCGTAGGTGCTAAACAAAATAATATAATATAAAACAAAGTAAAACAGAAAATAAAATAAAAAAATCCAAAAGAATTAGTTCTCTGAAAACGTGCTTACAATCATACCAAATTACAAAAATAAAAACATTACAAGGTTTACATAAGATTAAAACATTTATTATAAAAAAGGGAAAACATATAAAGTATATTTAAATTGCAAATATTATATAAAATTAACTAAGATTGGGTTCAATATCCAATTAGTTTTTATCAAACTTGTTTTAAAACTATTTAAACTAGTAGCTTCTACTATGTCACCACTTCATCATTATCATCATCATCAATAGCGCTACAACTCTTCGTGAGTCTTTGCCGCGTTTACTACTGCCTTTCATTTTTGTCGGTCCTGTGCCAGTTATTACCATTGTTGCACTCCCATTTTCTCTAGATCTTCTTTGACTGCATTTTTCCACCTTTTTCTAGGCCGCCCTACAGACCTTCTTCCATCTGGTCTTTCCCAAAACACATTGTTTATAAGGCGGTTGTCGTTACTGCGTATCACATGCCCTGCCCATCTGAGTCTATTGGCCTTTATATATCCGACTAGATTTTCTTTTCCGAATAGAGACTCTAGCTCGTTATTGTATCTGCCATTCCATTCGTTTGTCACCCTGTCTCTGCAACTGCCATTATATCATTCGATGAATTTTACGTTCCCACATCAGCAATTTATCTACTTCTCTTCTTGTTAGCGTCCATGTTTCGCTTCCATACGCGACTGCTGATCGTATTATGGTCATATATATTGGGATTTTTTTGAATTTATAGAAATATCTGTTTCCTGCCATTATTCTCGTTTCAACTTCTCGCTCTAATTTGTTGTCATTTGTGATTGTTGGTCCTAGATATTTAAATTCTTTAACCACCTAGAGGTTGTGATCATTTATAGCAATGTTTTGCCTTATTTGCCGTCGTTCTTGTTTTGAGACGACCATGTATTTTGTTTTGTTTTCATTTATTTTTAGACCGATGTTTAATGCAGCTTCTTCAAAGCTCGAGAAAATATCCTTAATTTCTAATGTTGCGTAGCGTAAATAACGATGACGCCACGAGATGATTTCTGGTTTTTCAATCAAAATTGAATTTCTGCCACGTTTTATAAACACAAAATCCATCACTCAGCAAGCGATGTAGCGTTGCCCGTGAAAATTGGGCAAAGTTTCTTCGACATTTACAACAGCTAATATGGTATTTATTGTTGGTGGTATGTTGTCACGAAAAAATTGATGAACTATTCTACGAATTTGGCCCCTGACACCTTCATCGTACTTGTTGTCACGAGAATTACCAACCTTTCGCTTCTTTGAGCTGCTCTTTGGAGATTGTAATCCAGCAGGTGATAAATATTCCTGTCGCAAACACCAGTCATTTCTGACAGAAATAAAAGAATAAAAAATTATTTATATATAATAATTTATTTTTATAGAATAAAAAATAAAATTAATTACTTTTTTATTAATAATAATATTTTTATAATTTTTCAAATTTAAAAAATTACCACAATAAACATTTTATCACCATATACCGAAATTTACCAAGAAGAAAAAATAATTACTTTATCAATTGTCGAAAGATCTAATTTCTTAACCTTATTGACATAAATATCGAAACTACCTGAAAACATCTGTGATTCATTTACGATATCCCTAAATAACGTGTTCCCGCGTGTACTTCCGGGTTAAAGTCAATTTGGGTC